ATTTTAAAGCGACATTGTCAACTTTCCGAAAAATGCCTTGATTCTGTAGATGTATTCAAATTTTTTGCAACCGGATTTCTACAAGCCTTGGCACGGCAGATAGTAACATGGAATCGCATCGAGTCTGGCACTATCGGGAATCATCGACCAATGGTGTGTTGAACCAACCGGGCTCGGCAAAGAGGGACCTCAAAAGCACATGGGTCGTTTGGTGATCCTATTTCGGCATCATGTAAACATTAATTTAGATGGATTTCGAGGGAAATAAAATGAAGAAAGGACGGATGAGTCGGGGACGGGGAGGTTGACGACGGTTTGGAAAGCATGAAGAAGGAAGCGGGTTTCTGCCTCTGATCAATAAGGGGGTGGGGGTGGAACTCATGCTAGTCTACGCGGCGCCTTCAATCCTCCGCCTGTGCTATCCGCCGTACTCCTCGCTGGGACCCAGCCGAGGTGCGACGATGCGAGCTGTTTGCGCGACACTGCCGGGCTAAGGAAAAACGTCGTATGAACCTTCAGGCGTTGCCAAATTTCCTTAGATAAAATACGAATTTCCTGCAAACTTGTGATTATTTTCCTTCTAATTTTTCGGATAATTTTGTTCGCAATTTCACCTGAAGTTCCTGAAAAGTTTAAGGAAAAATATTCATAACATTCCTCCAAAATGAACATTATATCGAGGGAAATTCGGCAACTTCGAATGTTCATACGGCGTTTTTCCTTAGCACGGCAGGACAGGGCACAGGGTGGCAATTGAGGATTTCCAGTTGGACCAAGATTTATCAATCAAGTCCAGTCAAATTGTTTGCTAATGTCGTGGATAGGAGCTCCAGGGTTGCCACGGAATTTGGAAAATGAAATTCCCTGACATTTTCCCGATTTCCCGGACACATTTTGGTGAAATTCCCTGACAATTAAAGATGTGACGAATGGTTGAAAAGGCATAATTGAAAATAGTCATCAGGCAAAGAGCCTCCCAAAATTTGGCCCCTTTTTAGGTATTCGATTCGACCATCGGACCAAGGTTTAAATGGAAGCTTATATCAACAGAAAACTCAGGAAAAAATTTCAAGATGAGTATAGGAACCGTTTTCGAGTTACGGGGGGGCAAAGGGGTCACAATCCGGCCTAATTGTTTGCTGTTTTCTTGTAGAATTGATGTATCGGCGAGGTTCTTATCGTTGTTTACGCATGTGTAGAACATGGATTCCTACGTGTTTTTACACGTAGAGTCGATTTTTAACGTTGCCGAATCGATATACTGATCAGTTAAATCGATTTTGAACGATTTTTCAAGGAAAATCGATGATTTTTCAAGGAAAATCGATGATTTTTCAGGTTCGAAATTGTTTATATTCTATTCATGAATGAATAAGTGCACCTGAAATGACTGAAGCACACGTAACCCTATATATTTTGACCCGGAGAATTGTATATTAACGTTGACGAGTCGATTTATCTATTGTTTGTATCGAATTTTTGCGATTTTTTACGGAAAATCGATGACTTTTCGGAATTAAAATCGGGTTTGCTCCATCCGAGATCGGAGATATGTACCCAACATGATTGGAGCACATCGACTCTTACGTATTTTTATACGTGGAATCGATTTATAACCTTGATAAGTCGATATATCGATCAATTGTATTGAATTTTTGCGATTTTTTGCGGAAAATCAATGGTTTATCGGGATTGAGATCGGTGTCTCTCCATCCAAGATCGGAGAAACGTACCCTTGATGATTGGAGCATATCAATTCTTACGTATTTCTACACGTAGAATCAATTTTAAACGTCGACGAGTCGATATATCGATCTGACATACACAACTTGGTGCATTTCTCCACCCTCGGACCGTAAGTAACCAATTTCATTCCTGATCGAAAAATCGATTTTCCATAAAAATCACAAGAAGTCAATATGACCAGTCAATGTATCGACTCGTCGACTTCAAAAAGAGATTTTGCGAGAATAATCACAAACGAATCGATATGCTCCAGTCATGTCTGGTAGATTTTTTCAATGCCAATCCAAAAGAACCATCGAATGTCCGTAAAAAAATCGCAAGAGTTGTGTATGTCAGATCGATATATCGACTCGTCGACGTTTAAAATTGATTCTACGTGTAGAAATACGTAAGAATTGATATGCTCCAATCATCAAGGGTACGTTTCTCCGATCTTGGATGGAGAGACACCGATCTCAATCCCGATAAACCATCGATTTTCCGCAAAAAATCGCAAAAATTCAATACAATTGATCGATATATCGACTTATCAAGGTTATAAATCGATTCCACGTATAAAAATACGTAAGAGTCGATGTGCTCCAATCATGTTGGGTACATATCTCCGATCTCGGATGGAGCAAACCCGATTTTAATTCCGAAAAGTCATCGATTTTCCGTAAAAAATCGCAAAAATTCGATACAAACAATAGATAAATCGACTCGTCAACGTTAATATACAATTCTCCGGGTCAAAATATATAGGGTTACGTGTGCTTCAGTCATTTCAGGTGCACTTATTCATTCATGAATAGAATATAAACAATTTCGAACCTGAAAAATCATCGATTTTCCTTAAAAAATCGTTCAAAATCGATTTAACTGATGAGTATATCGATTCGGCAACGTTAAAAATCGACTCTACGTGTAAAAACACGTAGGAATCCTTGTGCTACACATGCGTAAACAACGATAAGAACCTCGCCGATACATCAATTCTACAAGAAAACAGCAAAAAATTAGGCCGGATTGTGACCCCTTTGCCCCCCCGTAACTCGAAAAAGGTTCCTATACTCATCTTGAAATTTTTTCCTGAGTTTTCTGTTGATATAAGCTTCCATTTAAACCTTGGTCCGATGGTCGAATCGAATACCAAAAAAGGGGCCAAAATCAGCCTCTTTTTTGGGAGGCTCTTTCTTGTTCAAAATCTCAAACCCATTCTGGAAGGCAAATGAAGGTGATTTAACAAATTTTCCCTGACATTTTCGTCATTTTCCCTGACATTTCCCGGTTTTCCCTGACTTTTTAAAATTCCCTGACATTTCCCGGTTTTCCCTGACTGCGGCAACCCTGGAGCTTATCAAACAAGCCAATTGTTCCTTCCAGTATTTTTTTTATTTCTTTCTTTTCCTAATTTACCTTTGAAGATAAAATCCATCAGGGGTGCAAAAACTTCTCGACTACGCGACCGGGCGGGTTGCAATCGGTCGCGCGTGGGAATAAATAAGATACCTCAAAAACGGTGTTTTTAAAAGGGAGAGCCGGTAAAATCTCTCCCCCCCCCCTTCAAAACTGAGTAAAAATCACGTATATTGCGGAAATTTACACGTGGAGGGCCATTGAAAAGTCATTTCTTTTGCAATTTCTAAAAGATTAATTGATGTACGAGCCTCTTCTTTATCCCTTCCTTGCAAAGTTTCCCACAGGCGATAAGTCTTCCAGTAATACGGCCATGCTAAGGAAAAATGCCGTAAGAGCCTTCAGGCGTTGTCAAATTTTGTTTGATAAAGAACGAATTTCTTGGTGAGCCTATGAATATATTTCTTCCAATTTTATAGTATATTTTCTTCGTAATTCCACCTGAATTTTCCGCAAATCTCAAGGAAAAATAGAAATAACTTCCCTCGAAAATAAACATTTTAACGAAGAAAATTGGGCAATTCTCAAAAGTTCATACGGCGTTTTTCCTTGGCACGGCAGAATAAGAGCTTGTGCACGTGCCATTGTTCTGGTCGTCTCGCCAACGCTTCCATGCTAAGGAAGAACGCTGTATGTACATTCGAGAGTCGCTAAATTTCCCTAGATAAATCGGGTATTTTTGACAACATTCATGCATATTTTGCCTTGAAATTTTCAGAAGTTTAAGATCAAATTACGTACAAAAACGTCCGAACATTTTGGATGATAATATTTATAATTCTCCCAGTAATTCCGGTTTTTATCGGTAAAAACTTAACAACGTCTGAAGGCTCATACGGCGTCCTTCCTTAGCACGGCAGAACGGAACGGTGCACTCCGGAGTATGCCGGGTTGCGGAAAACTATTTTCCGCAGAAACAACAAACCCGCTTGTACAAGAAACAATGCTCGGAGCTTGAATGAGTAAAGTGAACTTATGCACACAGGTATATGGAAGCCTTAAGAACGACGTGGTCGAAGTCTATCGGGTTTAGAGCTCGAGCTGATAGCTCACTGCTTCGTGAATGCTGTGAACATCAGCACCGGGCGTCTCTATGTATTGGATAATAAAACATGATGATAAATGAGTTGAATAAGTTCTGTTGAAAAGGCGTGACCAAATGCTCCTAATTCTCTGGGGTATGATCTCTCCTCCTCCCCCCCCTTTTTTTTGCACTGCAGTGTGTGGGTCGGGGGCAAATAATCAAATCAAACATTTTGTCAAATGCCTGGGCTAAGTGTTAGTCATTTTCACTCGAATTGATAATCTGACTGCTTTTTTTGGTTGGTTTTGCAATTGTTCTTTTTAGGTATTATGGTCACTCAATTCTTAGATTTAAAAAAAAATAAATAATAACTAAAGCACGGGAGGATACATGTGCTACAGGCGATTATTCAAATAAGGCATTTCATTTAATGCCTATGCAAGCATTTTAGGGTCTCATAGAGCCATGAACTGTACACAAAACTGCAAACATCCAATTGAGAGTTATGTGCGGGGGTTAGGGGGGCGGACCCTCCGATTTTGACCAATAGAAATGTTGAAAATTTTTGAGACTGATACAACAAAGCTTGACGAAACACCACTGTCGTGGCTCAAGTTGTGAAATTATCATTTTCTACGGTAAGAATACACTGAATTGTACGGTGCCTTGAGTAACGATTACATTAAATGTACAGTGAAGGCATGCAAATGCAGTTATTGAGGAGAGAAATGCACATGCAACTTTGAAAAGAAAAATATAAAACGAAAAAACCAAAAAGCAAAAACCAAAATACAGAATAAGTAGAGTCAAATTTGGGAGATTACTATCTTACCCCAACAGGGAGGCCTCTTCAGATGCTGCGAAAGTTGGCATCTTCCTGAAAAATTAATACGATAAAACACTACTGAAGCAGGTAAAACGGTGCGACAAAACAATACTTAAAATCTACAATTCAAAGGGATCACATTTTAAGAGGAGATCGCTAATTGAGGAGAAAGTTTACGCGAGGGGTTTTACAGGAGGTGTATGTAAGAATCCAAGAACAGGTTTAAAATTTGCAGGCTTACCTAGTCCGAAAAATTTTGCGAATATTGAGTGTTGTCGGGGGGAAAACGGGATTTACAACAGAGGGCGAGTCTCGATGGTTGAGGAAGAATCGAATCGACGTGTAAAATTCAGGATGCATGTACGGATTGATTGGGGTATTCAGGGATAAATTTAGTGGTTCCTGCTTAGATTAATGTGATCGATTGATATATCGAGTGATGGAAGCGTGGGAACGAAGCTAATTCGAAATATTTCAGAAGCCACAATTACATTCTTGAGTCGAGATGATAGTTCATGACTCAAAACATGCCTGCGTTTGGAAAATTTTGACGAGTAATCGTTTAGAAATCGCCGCATGTAGTCCCAGATCCTTTCCAGACTAAGATTCAGCTAAAAAAAAAAGTCCGAGGTTTTAGAAGTTTACTAAGCAAGTAAAATCGCGAGTCGAAGCGATAATGTTATGGATTACATGAAATATTTACTTTTAGCAGACGAAGTATGGCCAGTTGCAGTTGAAAATTGTAGGAAAATGCAATGAATTCCGAGAAGTCGATGGTCAGGAAATATTGAGTAAAAAAAAAGTGAAACTTGACAGATATCGACTCAAAGTGGCCCCGCTTTTGCCGCAAAACCTTCGACCAAAACAGTGGCGCAGCTTCATTTTCAGCTAAGCGCTTCGTCTTTATCCCTTTGGTTTGAACGAACAACACTCCTTAAAAAATAGAGAAGTCCTTACCGATAAAGACATTGCAGAAGTCAAAAATATCAAAATGAGGGAAGAAACTAACTCCAATAACTTGTCGAGGACTAAGAATCCAGCTGAAAGCTCATCCACGGTTTACGCAGACTCCATACCCAAAATGTCAATTCAATAACTTGTTCGAGATCAATGAGAAATGGTCAATGAGAGGGACAGGGTACGTACAATGGAAAAGTACGGAAAATTAGAATTCAGGAGGACCTTCCTTGATAAAATTTGAAATTTTAACCCCTCTTAAACGCAATTTGAAGCTTTCTTCGGCATATACAGTAAAGATAAAGAAGAGAAGAAGGTCCGCTTTTTTTTTGGGGGGGGGGCATGTCTATGCTGCCGTGCTAAGGAAAAACGCCGTATGAACCATTAGGCGTTGCTAGATTTCCTTCGACAAAATAAGAATTTTCAGGAGTATTTGTGAATAATTCTCTTCCGATTTTTCAGAGGGTTCCGCTCGTAATTTGATCTAAGAAGTCTGAAGATTTCGAGGGAAAATATTCATGATTCCCTTCTAAAATAAAGGTTTCCTGAGAAGGAATTCGGCAACTCTCGAAGGCTCATTCGGTATTTTTCCTTAACACGGCAGTATACCCCACGAGTGGTGTCAAAATGAGCTGGCTCACACTGTATCGGTGGCGTGGCGTGAATAATCGATTATCGATATCTCGCCATTTGAAGCTATAGTAAAGAATCGATTACTAAGGTGTTCGCTGCGAACACCCTGATAATCGATCTTTTTTCATATGTTTAAATGGCGTAACAATCGATGTATCGCAATTCACGCCACGCCACTGCCTGTATCTCTTCCGATTCCGAATCCTGGCCCCCCAGAAAATGTGAGCCAGTAGCAAATTAATGAAAAATCATAAATAAAAATGGGAACCTACATTACTAGACTTCCCCTCTCACAAAATCCGAGAAACCTAGCAGAATCCTCCGATTAACAGTTACGCCGAACTGGTTCAAAATTTTATACTAGGGGTTCTTCATAGACAAACCGGCTAACACTAATTCACTCGTAAGGTCGGCACTCCGGCACCGTCTTCTGACATCAGAGGCGGACCCAGCAATTTGGCAACACCGGATTGTCTCCATTTAAACCTATGCTAAATAATCGATTCATGTCGGAGCACCTGGCCCCTCCGAAAATCGATACTTTTTCATAGGTTTAAATGGAGTAAAGACAATGTTGCCAATTTTCTACATCCGCCAATATCTGACATTACATCGGGGGTTACGTTTACAGGCTCTTTTCTAATTTCTATTTTCTCAGTGTATGTACTTAACTATAAGCCTATGAAAAAGAGGGAAAATGCAATGGTAGAAAAAAAAATTCAAAAAATTATGCGGAGGGGAAGGACGAAAACGGGCCCCCACGCGCGCACCTAGAGCGCTTATACAAGCCCCCCCCCTCCCCCCAACGGGAATTTTGCAATTTCTTGGCAACGGTTCAAAGTTTCGAGTTCCACTCATAGAGTACTACTAGACGTGTGACTGGGAGCTATGAAGAGTTGCTGGGCCAGATTGCAATGTTGCAAGTTGCAACTCGTTATTTTCTTGTTTACGATAAGACTTCGCGCTCAGCGAGTTTTAAGATGGGTCATTTTCACTAGCAACATTGAGCGCTCGATTTTTTTTTTTCTTACTTGCTAAAAACACAGTAATCGCTGTCGACCTTTGATGTGTTGCTGGGATACATCATTTATTATAAAAAAATGAAGAGTGAACATGGTTTTCTAGCGTTAAAAGTGGTGATCGATGTATCGATCGAGAAGTCTGCCTGCCTCCGAGCGGTCGTCAACGGCTAGGATCGATAAATTATTGAAAAAATTTACATTTTTGTGAGGAAGGATCATCGGAGAACACTTGAATAACTTGCAGATTTTACTGGATTGTCTTTTAAAATTGTTCCATTACTGAGAAAATTTTGGGTTTAAAACGCATTTCTGCCGAATTGATCCCCCTCCTTGCTGACCACTTAAGTTAGTGTGGCTCTAAGTACTGCTGATTGTCATCAGTGGCGAGACGTGAATGATCGATTATCGCAATATTTCCCCATTTGAAGCTATGGTAAAGAATCGATTATTAGGGCGTTCGTACACTAAATCTTAGTGAACTAAAACTCAATTGAACTAAAATAAATAGAAATTGATTAAGATTGACATAATTATACTTATATTAATCATCCAATTTAATATATACATTGATTATTTTCATTAACTTGAGTTTATAAACATTAACCTTTGAAGTTGAAAAAATTAATCAATTTTAATAAGCTAACACAAGATTTAATTCAATGATACAATAATATTAGTTTGTCAAATGAAAGATAGAATATTACATCTTTTCCATAGGTTTAAATGGCAAATCAATCGATAGATCGCAAAACACGCAAAAAAAAAAAAAAAAAAAAAAAAAAAACCGTGCTCTTGGTTTTGTGATGAAACATTCCCTCCAGATCTACTCAAAGAGTTTCATGAGAAAATTACCTATCTTAAAAAGAAAATAAAAAAAAAAAACCGAACTCTCCGAACATCTCTCACACAAAGTCTCGCCAAAACGGAACAAAACATGCCGCGACGTTGTAATTTGGCTTAGCAATAAATTCTTCATAGCTCTTGCCTAGTTGTACCTTCTAGCGATGGAACTCAAAAACTTGAATCGTGGCAAAGTTACAGCAAAAGTATGGATTTTTTGCGCCCCCTCCCCCTCTTGTGAGGTAAATACGGCCCTGAGTCTGAAATTAAAACCTAGTGCAATGTATTCTTCGCTAGATAGAGCTAGAAGTCTGGAAAATATGCCCTCAAATCGTTCTCAGAGGTGTCTTTGAGAAAACATTTACAGATAGGTTGGATTTGCTTAGATGAAACATTTCTATTTTTGAAAGAAACCAGCGATTTTGAGGTGTTTAGCGGCTCTGATTCTTTGGCGCAATTGGCGCACAAAATCTTCAATTAAATATGATTAAACTAAACGTAAGTCCCCACAGTTAAATACTGATTCAGTGTGTTTCATCGACACCAATAAGTCCAAAATCGGAACATTCCTGTCCAAAATACAAACTCTAAATGTGGGGGACGAGGCCGAAAGCTCTCCTCTACGGAATACCAGGCTGCAAAATTTACTCGTAAGCTTTGTGAAAGTATGGTTTCCGAGCTAATCGGCCCCAAGAAATTCGAATTTGATGGCACGGTGGCCCCCGAAGCTTTACGAATGGGGTGCAAGAGGGTTCTCAACCGTTTGAAGTTGGCGAGTTTAGGGTAGTCCCCTAGTGCCCCATCATTGAAGCCTTGGGGGCCACCGTGCCATCAAATTCGGATTTCTTGGGGTCGATTACCCAGAACAGATGTTTTCCCTAAGTCTGTACGTCAATCTAGCGACCTGGGATTTTGTGGAGCGGGCCTCAGTAACCTACTTAAAAGGGTCCGTATTTGGACAGGGGTGGGCCGATTTTGGATTCCTTGGTGACGTCATGGATTCAACTCGTCCAAACTTCTTGATTTCGATTTCAAAATTATGCCGGGAACCTCGACATCAAAAATCAGGACCCCCTTTTCACCTTCCTGAGGGAACTGGGGGCTCTGGGAAGATGGAATTCGGATTCCAGGGCGATTTTCTCTTCGTTCCGGTGGCGATACGTGAATGATCGTATCGAAAATTCCTCATTTGAAGCTACAGTAATAAATCGACTACAAACGTGTTCGTTGCGAACACCCTGTTTATCGATCCTTTTCCATAGGTTTAAATGACAGATCAATCAATATATCGCAAACCACGCCACGCCACCGCTCCGTTCCCGCGATCTCCGACATCGTTCGACCCGTGATAACCGAAAAAAAATCCCGGTGCGGATGGACTAGGTCTCCCCTTAAACCTGCAAGGATGATTCAAACCTTTTTTCAAAATAGAAATTAGGAGTTATTCAAGAAAAGTCAGATTTAAGTTGTATAGAAACTTCTAACTTTGCTGCACACATTGGGCAAATAATCAGCACTATGACATATAACCCACCTAACTAATAACTTGATCGTTAATGATGCGATAGTACTTTGTACAGATCATAAAATTAGCTCGGTTGCTTTCAAGAACTTGAACATATGAAATACTAATGATTGATAAGCTGTGAATGATGAATATCGTTGACGAAAAGCGACAGTGGCGCGGCGTGCTTTGCGATAAATCAATTGATCTGCCATTTAAACCTATGGAAAAGGATCGGTAAACAGGGTGTTCGCAACGAACAACTTAATAATCGATTCTTTACCATAGGTTTAAATGGGGAAATATCGATAATCGACCATTCACGCTTCGCCACTTAAAAGCAATGTGCGAGAAAGCTGAGGATAAAAAAAAAAAATCGAGACAAGATGTCCACATCGATTGGTGGAACTCTGTGAGGAGAACTTCTAACGACAAGACTTGTGCGATTTGAATTGGCAATTAATATATTTGAATGCACCTAGGTGTTCAACCAAACATAAAATGAAAAAACTTACAATGGAGTGAAAGAGAAGCAACAGACCAATAATTCAGGAATATGCATGTTGCATTGATCAGAATGATTTTCCGTTAGAAGAATTCTTGAAATTCCTTGTAAAAAGTTACGCGACCCTTATACGATGAAAGTAAAATTTTTTTACTGACGAGAGTTTAGAATCAATTTGCCCGACTTAAATCCTTCCTGAAAATTTTGTGGCACCAGCCGTAATTTTCTTCACTTCCATCCACCGTTTCTGGAAAACATAAAATAGCCCTCAGCCCCCCCCCCCCCCCCTCTCCGACTGTGTGCGGAAGAGATAGTAAGTTTGAAACTATCTTCAAAATGACACAAATGAGACTTCCAAAAATAGAGGACACGCAGTTGCTAATTGAAAAAAAAAACAAGGGCAAATGAACATAAACGCATGACCTTTGCTAAATGGATTGCATACTGTGCAAAAAGGAACAAAAAGCATTCCAATGTCACTAAGATGGTGCAACTTTTTTTATTTTGCTGGTATGAACCGATCATCTAAACACGTTTTATCTTTACTCTTAATAAACTATAAATACAAGACGAAAATTTGTAAATTGTACAATATTTGATCTTTGTAAATTTATTTTTTTGCATGACTTCAGTAATTTTATTGCATAGAGTATAAGTTGCACAATTCTAGCAACATCGGCATGCTCTTGGTTACTGTTTGCAAAATGCAATCCGAAAGTATTCCATACAAAATCCGTTGAATTATTCGCACACATCCGCAAAATTTCACTGAATCCGTGATTATCTGTAGCTTTGAACGAATACCTATACGGCTCCTGTATGGATGACTGACATCTTTCATAAAAGGATGAGGTTTGAATTACGGAGAAATTTTGGGGTTTCCCCGTCCATGCTATGAATTCAGCAGAAATTGCAGTTTCCATACCTACACTATGAATTTCGTAAAATTTTTACTGTTCCTACGCCCGAGCTATGCATCCCGTAAATTCCTTGGTACTCATGATGGTAAGTGTTACGCCTCGTTGACAAAATTGCCCAATGCGCGGTTTGCCCAGTCTAACCTGAGTGTCCAGCTTACGGAATGGTCTGAAAACTACGCCAACGGACCAATCGTGAATTGGACGTATTTCTATCAAACGGAACTATGTGAATTTCGACGTGAGGCCTGTTATGCATATATTCTGATGGGTCTCAGGGCTCACGTCATATTGCATATAGTTCCGTTTGACAGAAATACGTCCAATTTTGGCTGCGATCCATACGCTGACCGACGAAAGTCTTCCACAGACAGATTTCTGACAAATTTTTCTCGCGATTATTGATGAAACTTTAAAATTCAGGATAAAAACCAATCAAATTTATGAAAATTTACGAGTCGAGTGAATCAAGTTTATAATCAATTTTTATTCAATTTATATTACATAAGGAAACCCGGTGTACGAGTAAAAACGACCGACCAATAGGAATTCCTCATATAAAGGGAGAGATACATGAGAAACTGAAAGGAAACTTGGGGATTATATGCATCAAATTTTCTTTAGAGATTATTTCAAAAGTTGAAAATTAGAAAATCCGTGAAAGTTTGAAATTAGTTGACCCATCAGCACTTTTTCTTCGTAGTAAAAGGATCGAGATGACAACGATATCTCTACAAAGGTACTCAAGTTACTCAAGTGCTACAACTAACGACAACTCCCGTACATTTCTGCATAGGTCAGAAAAGCGAAAGCGCCTTCAATTTTGAACATGCAACACGCACATCCGTAGAACAATAATAGTTGTATCAAGGCGCCGCGCCACAACCAACTCAACTTGAAATAATCGCCGATTTGAATAGGTCGTTACAAAAAAATGCTTATACTCCAGAGATTATAGTGCGAGGAAAACAGTAAAAAGGTTTTAGTACCGAACCGAACTGGGCAATTTTGCCGCCGGGGTGTGACATAAATAATAAGAACTACAGACCAATATGGATTCCATGCTAAATCCAATTAATAATTAAATTAAACAATCATTTCTAATGGTAAAACTATTAAGCATGAATGTTGATAATCTCTGTGAATACTTGGTGAAAATAAATTGTTTTCCATCTTTTCCTAAGTTTGAAAATTCACTAGTCAGAGCAAAACGATCCAGTCCATATTTTGCAAAATCTGTCGTTAACTAATTTTTCTTGGAGGACTCAAAAAATTATTTTGGTTGTTGACTTTTGATAAAATGTTGGGAAGGTTCCAAATAAATTTTATAATAATTTGGAACACTGTTTACTCAATTATTAACGAGAAATAACACTACAAAACGTGGCCCGAACCGTGCAGAACAAGGTTGTAAAATTTGCGGGGAAAACAACCAAAAAATTGTTGAACTTTTTTAGCATTGTTTGCCCTGGAAAATAGTGTGGACCCAGCACTATTTTACCACCATGTTATATCTTAATTATTACCTCGTTTTAGCTTATTATTAACATCGACTAAACTTTAAAAGCAAAGACTTCGGTACATTCAAGTAGAATTGTGGTTCCTTTGAAATGAAAAAAGTGGGTAACAAACCTTGAGTACTTAAGTTTCGACCTAACTTTGCCCTACAAGAGAAGATTTTGCACATTTCACACTCCTCATTCATAATGTTCAAACATTTATTTTTTAATTGTCTACACATTGATTTTCATTTATTTTACTGAAGTATCTATTATTTTTACCTGTTAATTTTTTTTTTCAAGTTTATATTTGCACTTTTACCTCTGCCTGATGCTGTTAGTTCATTCTTCTTCTTTATTTTTACTTACATTTACTTGTTCCATAGCAACTTCTTACTTATATTTCATTTATTATTATTCTTACTTATATTTTACTTTGTTCCTTTCATTTTTAAATTTTTAACTACCTCTTAGTTTTCTTCTGAGATAGGTTTTTCAACTTCATGAAAATTTTGATTTAAGTTTCTAGCAGTCAGTGTGGATTCTTTTTTTGTTGAAAATATTATTTTTTTAATTTTTTCCGGTCTATCGGTGTTTTCCGGGTTTCTGTGTTAAAACACTCATACTTAATTACCAAAGTAAATTAAAAATCTATAGCTAACAGGCAAAGAATATGGAAGCAGGGCTCTTATGATTATAAAATTACTTCAACTCTAGTACATGCATCTGTTGTGTAGTGGTTTTGTTGTGGAACTTATCACCCAAATTAACCTATACTGACCATGGTCAAAGTTTTGGTTGGTAGACCATTTGTAAACATTCCTCGTAATTAGTGTAGAATTTGAGGGTGGACGTAAATCTGAATTTCTGTATTTTTCGCAGCCAATAAACAGAACACTTTCAGCAAACAGAACACAAAATAAACTAAGGGGGGAGGGGGGGTTATTGACTAAGCATCTCAAGCCAACAGGGTAAGATGTGTTTGTAGAAAAGATTTAGGGAAGGACAATACTTTGAAAAGAAAAAATTGCATCACACAACAGCAAAACTAACTACCTAAAGGCAACAAGCAGGAATAAAAATGACGAGTGTATTACCTGTTAGATACAACAGGCTGAGAGCTTTCAGATCTAGAGATGAGAGGTTCAGATCGCCTAGTTAAAGCTTGTGCCGAAAAAGATGTGAAATTGAAAGCTTTCTTCACAGACTCTAGCACACTGAATTTATCTCTTTCTGAAATGGTTGTACTGCGATACACATCATCGGCGAGAGAGCGATATGAGGCACCTAGGCCGGAGGGCATAGTGCCTTCACGTGTTGCAAAAGAAAGAAAGAAAACAGAAAGACAACTCAAAAACTGATTTAAACACAATGAAGCAAACAAAGAAGAAAAATCTGAAAAAAAATTCCATTCGCAGAAACTAAGAACTATAAAATGCGAAGCTAAAATATCCACATTCCCTTGAAAAAATAATGTAGCTTGTCCGAATTAAATTATTTTATTGTACAATCACTAAATTGATGAGGGTGAATATTTGGGAGTGAAAAAGCAGAGAATATTTACATATCCTTTCAACCCTTGAGTACATTTAGGTATGTAAATAACGACCATAAATGACATGCTGAACAAAGTTAACTTCGGGGAACACTTGAAGTAACAAGACTCAACAAGACTCAAAAGTACCTAAGCTACACCTCCTTACAGTCATCGACTTATGACACAATCGTGTTAAACGTTTATGCGCTCACAGTGCATCACAGAATGCCAAGAGGAATCGATTCAAGAAATGAAACCTTGAAAATAAAACATTGGAAAGCACCTAGACAGTAAGCTATGGATAATGTATGCAAGAAATCCATTTCTGATTGATAAAGATAAAAACTTCACTTTGAAGAAGATGAATAAATTGATACATGACTTCTCAGATCTATTTATTCTAGGATCCACTTGGATAATGGTAACTACTAGGTACTTGGGTATATAGGTTAACTTTGATTTGATTCAATGAAAATTGGCATTTGCGATAGGTCAAGGATTGTTATTAACTTAGTTAAAAAATTACACACTCATCCTCTAACTAATGATATTAATTTAGAATATCAAAATTGGAGAGGATGCCAATCCCAGAACTATTTATGATCAACACCATGCGCATTGCGCAATTCTATTTCCTGTCAACAGACATTGTCATGGAGGCTTCAATCTCTTGTGAGAATTGACAGCATTCTCGGAGCCTCTTACAAGGAACTTAATTAGGTTAGCACGATTTGAAAGCCATGACTAACTTGTAGATGAGAAAAATTATCAACATATCTGAAAAGTAATCTTAGAGAAAATGAGTAATTCCTATCAAGAAGGTCAATTAGCCTGGGTGACAGGAAAGCGTTATCAGTAACTAGGTCTTTCCCTTTAATTTTCAAACAATCATTCATTTGAATGATTAAAAAAGGGGACATTGAGATGTTTCAACATAGAAATCTTTAGATATGAAGTTGAGGAGTATTGAGTACTTGCTCAACAGGCTTCCGTTTTATAAATTCGTGGCTAATAAAATCATGCTAGGTATTCCAAATAAAACAAATGCCCATGCAAACAAACTTTACACTGGCTAAAACTTTGGAGATGAATTTAATGTTTTCGGGAAAAAGAAAGCGAATGAGTGAATGACAATTTTATGATCATTGTACAAATTACTATCATTCAGTTGATAGATTATTGATTGTTTATATATCAGACCTTAGCACAGAAATCAATCCATGACTCATAATAAGTAGGCAACTCAGAACTTCATCGTCCAAGACTAGCAGATTAATAACTTGTACTAAAAAGTTTGTAAAAGATTCAGAAATACGTTAAAAATCGTTACCTCAATCGATTGACTGACAATCAGCACCCTAATTCTTGACGAAGCACGAAGAATTTAAATTGCACCAACGACAAAAACACCATTGATAAGAGAAATGAAAGACTATTGGGAAGTATCAACCACCGATTGTACGAAAAAGGTGAACTATCATCGAATTACTGTGAGTAAATTAACAATTTTTTTTCTGGAAACTAGAATAACACACAGCTCCACTGAGGCAATACGAAGATAACAGGATTACTTGCTTTAGTTATCAACAAAAACTTACTGTAGCCTACATTCAAAACACTCACACAAACGCAACGACACAACAGCTGAGAGGGGGCGGAGTATATAAAACGTCAAGGGAGGGGCGGAGCTCATTCGTTGACGGCGAATCCAAGACCACCAATCAACACAGACTGCGCGTTGCGGCGGGAAATTCAAATGTATAGTATTATCTATGGAACCATCCTTATGAAAGAACAAATGAAATGACTTCGCGAGTTCGCGAACGCACGCGCACCGAGCGTTTGTTTTTACTCGCCGAAGCTCTAGCCGAATAACTGAAGTATCTTTTCGACATACAGGTATAAAGGATGATCCAAAAGTTGTTGGAAACCCTCCCCCTCTCCTGCAACTTTTGAAATCATCTGAAGCTATCAAAGGCAATTTTTTGATGATTCCTCAAATTTTAGTGAAAGGTCCTCGTTGCCCATATAAGAAATTTACAAATCAATGAGTCAAATGCAGGCCCGCCACATCCCATCTCGGGCCCTGGTACCAGTTTTAAGGTCCGGGCCCCAAGCACGGAGGGGGGGGGGGGGGG